GTTAAATGTTTGATATCGAAGAAACAAAATTAAAAGTATATTAGCCTAATATGTGTAACCAGTACTGTAGAGAGCTATGTAAATATTTCATTTTTCTTACGTACAGCTTCAAGAAGATCACGTTTAGAAATAAAATCAAATCGTCGTCGAACGCCATTTTGCATGGCTTTTTCAATAAGATCAACATAAATTTGATTAATAGAACCATCAGGTATAAGAAAACAAACAAATGTTATCCAATTATCCTATTTAATAGAGTAAGAAAGAAAAAATAAATTTAAATTATAATTTTTTATATTGCTCACTTGATTAGCTGAAACCGAACTTAATAATGATTCCCAAGTTGCTCCTCCTGGTTTAGCACTTTTTGGACTTTTTGTTCGAGGACTTTTTGCTCCTTTTGGTGGCATTTTTCTTTAAATTCAATTTCGTATTATCGATCTAAAAGTGAGAAGTTTATTTCGAATAGTTTACACTTGAACACTAATAGAAACAAAATTCAATCTTCAGTTTTATTCATATTTTAGAAATTCTATAAATTTTGAATACTATTATATTTTACAATGACGAAAACTTTTATTTTTATTTAATTAGCATATTTTAAACAGCCAATATTTATATATTCAATAATATCAAGTCACAAAACATGATATAAGGCAATGTGTTGAGAAACTGTAACAACAAGTATGACCTTATATTACATGCTAGTTATTTTTATTTTTGATCAGTCCAGAAAAAAACAAAAATAATCGACAATAAATTACAAATAATTGATATCAATAAAATGATGTTGTTTTGCTGTTATTATATTTCAAACTTCTATTATTCATCAATGAAATTCTATTTTTTTTCTTTTTGACATTTTCATTATTTTTACATTGAATATTATAAAACTACGAATTTTTATCTTTATATATTTCGTATTTCGATAATCATAATATAAGTAAAAAACATGTCGTTTTCGTATGTTTTATTCACGCTTCAGTGGTAAATCGCAAACCCCATAAAAGAGATATTCTTCATACTTTTGTCCGTGTGCTTTCTTGTTTATCAACATTAGTCCTACCTCGTAAGTATAACAACGATTTATTTATCTCTTTCTTTCTCCTCTTCCTTTTTTTTCTCCTTCTTCAGTTTTCGTCTCCACTGATCACAATACAAAGTGTTGTTTTTCCTACATGTGTGCAGACAATCCAGATGTGCATGTAAAAAAAAACAAACTTGAAGAAAAGAAAAAACAATTAGGCCAACGGAGTATATCAGTAACAAGAAAAAACAAGCAATACAGGTAGCCTGTTGACATCATATAAACGATCACATGCTATTTTGTACCAATCAGCAATTTCTTCACGATTGGGCGATCATCGTATGAAGAGATGAAGACGGCGAGGGAGAGAGAAACGATGCAATGCTTGTCATACATAGAAAGTATCGCAAAAAAAAATAATATTTAAAAATATTTCCACACCTGCGCGTGTTTCGACACTTACAACAGTCAATGCAGGTTGAAGGGCAATATCAAGAAGATTCAAACGCTATTACACACAGTCCCTATTATGGTTGTACTTTACGAGTTCTATCAAAAGCTCGTGTTTCCTATGAAGGTGTACTCGATGGTATTAGTACTGCTAAAGATCGTATATATCTCAAAAATGTGCGTGTCAATGCAAACATAACAGGTTCTCCTAATCGAAGTAAATAAGAAAAAAAATTTCTTTTCTTTATTTAATAAAAAAAAAAATTATATCTTATTTAGATAGTTCTTCAGATGATCTTAATAGACATATTACAACTGATAAATTGAATGCTGTTATGATTGATCATTTAACAAATGATATCCATATATATGAACAAGTATGTTTAAATGTACGTGATATTCAAGAATTAAGACTGATAGAATTACCTTCGACATTTCATGAATCGAAAGCAAAATTACGAGCTATTGATCCATGTCTTGTTGATATTCGTTTATCATCATCTGATAAATATGAAACAAGTTCAAACGGTTCAAATAATGATCATCCACCACGTGCACCCATAGCACGTCAAAGTCGTGATGAATCATATGGAAGTAATGGAGATAGTGTATTAATATCATCAGAATCAAATAATTCTTCACCTTCATCTTGTATTCATTCTGATGAAAAATTTGCTGATGAAAGTAATGATGAATCAGTTGATGAACAAATCGAAAAATTTAATCAATTAACAACAACAACAACAACAACAAAAACAGCAACAACAAATTTAAATTCAAAACCAGTTACATTACTTGCTAAAAAGATTTTACCAAAAAAATTTGAACGTCGTACAGATGTACAATCAACTTCATCAATTAATACAAATAATAATCTTCGTCAAACTATTTCTGATAATCATGAAATAATTGATGGATCAACATCAATCAATAATCAAAATACATCAAAAATAGGACCAACAATTGATGACGATGATAGAAAATCATCACCAATACGTGTAACCATTACAAGTAAATTGAATCCAGATGCTTTACCATTTTATACTCAACAACGAAATTTACCTGGAGTGCAAAATCCATCATTTGTATTTTATGAACGACCTCGTTTTCGACCACGTTTACAATCTATTAGTTCACCAGATCGTTCACAAGTATTACCGTATGGAATGAATACAGTCGATAATAATCAGCAACAACAACAGCAGCAAAATTATCATCATTCAAATCAAGGATATGGTCCACAAAGACAAATGGCTGTTAAAAAAAATTTTACACAAACAAATCCACCAAGAACAACAAAAACAAGATCTATTCGAACACCACCACCTACGGCAAAATATCGTATACATGCATCAACATCTTTAGATAAACGTTTTTTTTCTCATCCACAACATAAAGATAAAACACAAAATAATCCTCAATATAGGCGTAAGTTTAATTTAATTCTTGAATTACATGTATATATATATATATACATCATTATTTTAGAATTTCCACATCAAACATCAGTACCAACATCAAATTCATCAATATTAACACCACCAATAGGAGATAGATTTTTGGCATCACGAAATAATCCTATGCATCAATCAACACATAGTATTCGTTCAACACTAAGTTTACCTTATCATTATGGATGTTTAAGTGATCGTAATCAAATACAAACACCTGTATTTCAAGAATCCATAGGTTCAAATCGTAGTCAACGTACAATTTCAGGTGCAAGTAGTTGTAGTAGTTTAAGTGTTGATATTGGTCCACATTCAATTGTTCAACTTGATTCACCATTAAATACATTAACATCATTTGATGAACAATATGATTTTGAAAAAGCTAATGATGAATTTCGTCGTTATCTTGAATTAGAAGAATTAGTTATACGTCGTCGATCATCTCACGATTTAAATGGTTCACCTTCTAATGATAATACAATACAACAACAACAACAACAACAACAACAAGAACAACCACAAACACATTCATATAAAAAAGAAATTTCATTTTTTGATCATATTTCATGTACGGCAACAACTGGTACAGCAGTAGGTTATACAGAAATGGATGAAATAGAAAAAAATCTTGAAACATTTGGTAATGATGCTCTTTTAATGGCTTCGAGTCTCAATGATAATGAATGGCAAATATAATATCATAATAAGCAAAATAAATAAATAATAATAAATATAACAAAAAAAAAACTATTTAACTCACCTCTCTTTCTCAATGAATATTTGCATTACAATATAATCAACATTACATCAACCATTAATATAAACTAGCAGCTAAGCAACGATCACATTCATTATTTTTATTTTGTTTGTATATTTTGTTCAGTCATCCGAAAATGAAGATCTTCAACACAACACAATTCTTTTTTTTTTAAACATGCCAAGTTTTTTTTATAAAGTTTCTTCTCTATATCTCTTAATAAACACCACGTTCTAATTTAATGATTGATCTCTACTGACATCTGTCTGTTTGTCAGGTTTATATTATATAGATCTATATTTCAATATCGTACAAGTATCGATTTGGATATAGTTCTGTTAATAAATATACCATATGTTAAATTAAAATCGAAGTATAAGATCATATTTACTATTTTTGTATTGCACTTGATGAGAAAGATACAATCTTATGTTTCTCGTGAACATTGAGATTCATTTTGTTGCATAGATCATTATCAAAGATAAAAATTTTATTATCAATTTTCAAATCTAATCTAAGGTTAACAATTATTTGATAGAATCAAAACATCGATGAAGTTATAGATTCTTTAGTTATTTCGATCTTATACATGTTATAATCAATATACTAAATGAAACGTACAGAATATCTGATACTTTCAATATAAATATACTGTTTCAAATTTTGCTCAAACTAGCAGAAATTACACAATACATTGTTCGAAATAAAATTATATTTTATTTCCAAGATATTTGACGATGAATTTTTACTTACAAAAAAAAATAGTACATGCAACTTATTCTATTATTTTCGAATATTCTACTATTTTTCTCGTATCTTTCAATTTCTCTATTTGATCATATGAGACAAAAATAGAAAAAGATATGCTTTTCGCTTATCATCTTTCTAGGGATATTGTTTATCAAACGCAAAATGAGTAATTTCGTTTTTTCTGTCCTATGATGTTGTTAAAAAGAAATTCGCTGTTATACACGTTGCTTATGATTTTAAAAAAAAGTGGACAAATACATTGTGTTTTAAATTTCAATTAGAAACGGTAGTTTGTAGTCACAGATGTACAAGCATATGTACCACAGAACAAAGAAAATAATAAAATGCAAGGCCAAAACAAAAAACCATATACGCCTGGTGTACGAATAATACCGTAAGAGAAAAGAATAAGGCATTTCATAAATAGAAAAAGTAAAAGAGTATTAATAATTATCAGTTCGTCGTTTTTCTTTCTATTCTGATACTGTTTGGTAAATATAATATTATCTTATCTATCTAGCAGTTGAAATCTCACAAGACATAAATCATAAAAAAAGTATAAAGTATGTCGTCATCTTCTTTATTTTTTCTTAGTATTACACTGTTAGTTCTAATACTAACAGTTGAATCAGTTTATTATGCATATTCATATGATGATGGGAATAATAATGAAGAACATTGCTGTCTGGTACGAGTCCATGAGAAATTTTGTATAGCGAGACCAATAACACGTAGCTTAGTACAAGTTAATAAACGATGTCATCGAGTTGACAGATCTCAACATCACCGATTTGGCAGAAAGAATAGAAATGAACAATATTTAGATAAAATTTTACGTCGTTTAAATGTACAAACGTCACAAGAAGTTGGTGATAAAATACTTATTGAATTACAAACACCATTAGAAAAAAAAGTACTTGACAATGATCTTATATGTTTACAATCAACTAATAAAAATATGAATTTAGACAAATGTTATGTAGAAATAGTTGACGAATTAGATGATGATAGCGATAACGACGATGATGATGATGATCATCATCATCATCATAAGTCACACAGATTGCATAGTAAAAATAAAATTTTCTTTGTTTGAGTCAAATAGAACTAATTTTTTTTTCTTTTCTTTTTATGTTAGAACGACGACGATATGGTCATCATCGTCATCAACATCGTCATCAACATCGTCATCATTATGATCGCAAGAAACGCGCTGTTGATATAGACGATCAAGAAGAAGACAATACTATTAATCATAATAAAAATACTAAAGAAAATGAAGCTGAAAAAGAAACAACTCGAATTGAATTAAATCAACCAATTCGTATTCGTGAAGGTCATGGTTTTTTAATGCGTCAAACATATAAAATTAATCCTAGTAATATTCGACCAACAAATCGTCAACATCGTCAATGTTGGTCATGGTATCGTAAACAAACACGAAAAATACGTTATAATCCATCAAAACATACAAAATCTTGTATTAATTTAAATGATCATCTTGAAAAATGTATTAATCAACTTGTTCATAATAGATTAAATACAAATGAAATAGATAATTATCAAGAACAACAAAATATGAAAAATTCTTTTTCAATAGGATCAAAATTATATTGTGAAAATCAAGCCGGTTATAATAAATTAATTGGTTATTATCATTATAGTGAAGTATGTTTTTCTACAGATAATGAAATTAATATTGAACGTAAATTTATCGATATAACTGGTTTATCTGATATGAAAAAAAACAGAGATACACTTGAATTTATAGCACAAAATAAAAAATTAACAGCTGAATTTGAAGATGATTGTCATGATACAATAACATTAGCTGAAATAGATGAATTAGAAAAAAGAAAAAGCAAAAAATAATCATAAGAAATAAACTAACGATGAAATATTAACATTGAATATTTTTTTTATTTTATTTTATTTTTGCATCTTTTTGTTTTTTATTCGATTTTTTTAATTTTTAGTTAAAATAAACGGGGAAAAAGAAATGTACGTAGTTGGAATATTAATTATAATAATAGTACATTTGACATGTATATTCGTGAAAAACAAAAAAAAAAAAATTTGAACAGAAATATAAATACGAAGTTCATGGTCAGAAAAACACTTATTTTTTTTTTGTATTCTCACAGGATTATATTAGAGGCGACAGCAAGAATAAAAATGAGAATTGATGAAAACAATGATATTCGAATCGATGATGGAGCTAAAATAGAAAAAGAAAAACAAAACTATGAAGTTTTCAGTAAGAGAATAATACAATTATGTATTTTCTATTACATATTTCACTAGAGCCGCCAGGACTTGATGGGCTCCACATCTCAAAACTAAATCTGATTGCTTTTTTTTTGAGAATCTTCAGATGTAATAATTCTTTTCCTTTATTATAGGATGTTATAAAAATGATCGAATGAATCTTCTCAGATGCTAAAAAGCTTTCAATCTCATTAGAGGATCAGTAGGCTATGGAAATCCTAAGACGATATGGGCACAAATTACTAGTTAGCTGAAAGATCGAATTTTTGATGAACTTTCCATTTGGAATCTCGATCTTCTAGTAAAATCATAGTTTAGACTTTCGGCAAAACACTTCACACAAGCATAGATCTCAGTTAGACTGACTTACATAAAAAAATTCAAAAATTTTAGACATAGTATTCTTCAAGATATTAATTTTTCAAAATTTAAGCACTTTTCCATAGAAGAACATAGGTTTTCGAAAATTAAATAATGGCAAACTGCGATGTAAAAAATTTGTGAAACTTTTTATACAAATTAGTCTAACTGAGATCTATGCGCTTATGTAAAGTTTTTGGTCAGAAGTCGAAACTATGATTTTACTTATCATTTGGGGACTTTCGTAGTCTAGTGATCCTCTAATGATATCGAAAGCTTTTTAACATCTGAGAAGATTCTCTCATAAGTCACTGTTCATTTTATTATATAACATCAACAAAGTTAGTTGAGAAGTTCAACGCAAGTAACATAGTTGTAATTATCCTTTTTACAAAATAAAAAAATAAAACAAATATAACATTGTAGACGAACAGAAGATAATGAAACTGATAGTGTTCGGAAAAAACACTATCTCACTATTTTGATGAGAGCGCTTAAACTTTCTCTCAACATATTTTGTCAGACAATAAAGACATATCTGAAACAAAGCTTTTTTTTTCTTTCATCGGTAAAAACCAGTCGGTTCAGTCGAACCCGGGTTAAAACTCTGGAACAAGATACAAATATCAATACAGCTGAATATCACATTTGAAAAATAGTCCTTAACTCACCATGACAAGGTACTTGATCAGCTGGTGCACATCGTCCAATATTTCTATTAAAACGTTGTCCATATGGACAACGACTATGATTTGCTACACGATTATCAAGACATTGTATATATGATTGACAATTTGGTTTTGTTCGATCAAGATAAAATCCATCACTATGACCAGAGCATGATGGAACAAAATCACATAAACTTTTACCAACATCATAATTAGATAAATAATGACCTAATATATACACAAAAAAAAAAATAAATAAAATAAAATATTTATATCAATATAAAATAATAAATTCTTCTTACATTTACTTAAACATTGTCGACGTCCATCACATTTAACTTTTTTATATGGTAAACATGTACGAGTTTGAATATCAAATAAATTCGGATGTGTACATGTTTGAGGTATTAATTTACCTGATATACATTCATGAAAATGACAACAACTTATTGTATCTACAAATCGTGCACCTTCATTCTTTGGTGTACATCTATTTTTACCTATATAAATAAAATTATTTCGAATATCAATATATATATATATGTACATAACAAATATTTTATTACATTGTACAACTTGTGCATGATCACAAATTTGTCTTTCTGGATTATATTGAAGTTGTGCGGGACAATAAGATACAAGATCTGTACCATGATAACAATCATGATAAATTGAACAATCATATGGATCAGGTACACGCCATGATTGTGTTGGAGGACATTCAATTGCTGGTTTATATACATTTGATGATGGAAGTGGTGGTGGTGCATCTGTTAAAATATATGCTGATGGATAAGGTGTACTACGTGGCATCCATGGAGCACCAGGAACAGCTCCGATCGATGGTTCTGGACTTAAATTCTTCACCGGACCTGTAAAAAAAATATATATATATATATTCTAGATTATGATCTAATATGAATTATAATAATAAAATTTACAATCGGATTGTACTGGCCAAACACACATTCGTTCACTTTGAGACCAAAATAGATGTTTTGTGCATATTTTTGGTTGTAGTACACCTATGATTATTAAATAGGAAAATACAAATAATTATTTCTTTTTTTGAAATTTTAAATAAACAAATGGAATTGTCTTTCTTTGTTGTTTTTTATCTCTTCACTAATTGTATGATAACTATATGAATGTAGGACAATACATTAAAATCGACTAGACCTTTCCTATTTCTTCTTATTGCTTTCTCTTAGTAAATAAATAACATGCAGCTTTTCTCGTCTTAGTTTAAGATGAATCAAGATTAATTGTTCGAATGTAGACAAGACAAGATGTGCATTTGATCTATTGACTCGATGTCCACACGTCTCTTGTTCGACAAAAAAAAAAAAAAAGACGAAGACGAAGAAAACGACAGATGAGATGTCACGTTTCTTACCGTTTGCACAATAAGCATATCGTTTACAATCAGTCGGATGAGCTACATAGTCGTTATCAATCGATCGACATAAAAATTCGAATATTGAATCACTTATTGATGGATTACGTGAAGCATATTTTCTTCGATTAAAACTATCACCGGCAGATGATGAAGGAACTGGATAATCAAAATCTTTCACAAAAAAAAAATTTAATCAAATCAAAAATACAAAAATAACAAAAACATAATAATAAAAATTTTACCAGGAGGATAAAGAACATCTGTTGGCGCTGTTGGTGGAAGAGCATCTTCATAAGATGTTTGACTACAATTAACCTAAAATAAAGATAGAATTCCTTCATTTTTTTTTATGAAAACTAAAAAGTAAAATGGCTTTTGTTGTTTTTTTTCATTTACATTCATTGCCCAATCACATTCGTTTTTTATTGGATTGAATAAAAGATCTTCTTTACAAGCTTTTACTGAATGTGTAGAACCAACACATATATGATAGATCCAACAATCTTTCTTATCCGGAAAAAAACCATCTTTAACACATTTAAATGTTTCGGATCTTATTAATTGAATAATAACTAAAACTATTTTAATATATATGTTGTTTTTGATTATGAGAAAAAAAAATTAAAATGACTTACAAATTATTGTAAAATAAAATAAACGTCGATCTGACTGATTAAGCATGATGATAATCTAACACTCATTGTGTTCATTATTAAAATAACATTTTTATTGTTCGTTTTGAACATTTATTTCAATCATTTTTTTTTTTCGTAATGTTACATTAACATAGCCTAGAAGAAAGAATGTTGAGACAAATTATCGGTGTCGTAGAGGTTGGTCAAAAAAGAAAAAAAGAGCATCAAATGTATTTATTCTCTCTTTCTCTCGATGTTCGTTGTATGAACAAATAAACGAACGAACGAAATGACGAGAAAAAGAAAAAGTTATTTAAATAAATGTTAATACCTGCACCAACACCGATCAGGAAGTAGAAAGAAGAAGGGCGATGACCTAAATTGTATGAGGAGAACAAAAAAAAAAAAACTTATCAGTAAACCTCGAAAAACGAAAAAGAAGATGAATTGATGATGAATCCCAATTCGTTCTTGAAAGTAATCTTTTGTTTCTTGTACGATGGAGAAGAAAAAAAACATCTAACGAAAGATAACGAAAAACATTTATTACGAAGGATCTATATTGTGTTTAAGTCTTGTTAATTAATTGAGAGAAGAAAAAAAAAAGAAGTATCTTATATAAAGATTTTTCATACTCAACATTCAACAAAAGAGAGCGTTAAAAGAAGGACGACAAGTACGTGATTAGTCAAAGGTCGATTACGTAAAATTTCTTTTTTTTGTCTTTTAACCATAAAAAATTACTTACGTGTGTATATATGTATGTCCTCTTTATGTCATCTCAAACACATTCTTTAGTTATTGTAATGAGAATGGGAATGAGAATGTCTTTGTACAACAAAGTAAGGGTCAACTTTTTTTTTTCTTCTTTATTCGTAAAGTATCACGCCCAAGGATTAAGTATTGTGGTCAAAATGTGAACGCAATTAATCAATGTAAATTTGATCATTCTTTTTATTCTATGAAACTTTCAACTATTAAATCATATAATCAAAAGTGATATATGAAAGACAAAACGAAAATTATTATTTATTTTCTGATTATAAAATAGCAATATATAGATTTATTTTGAACTAATAACAAAATAGAATAGTCATGCATTAATGATGAATGATAAGATTTAATCGATAAAGATTATACACACCTATGTATAAAGAATTTTAATCCAAAAGAATCTATCGATCATTTTCTTTTTCAATCATTCACATACACCTATCACTAATATTATAACTAAAATCAATAGATAAAATGATCATTATTTCAAATAAGAATAGAAAATATTAAACTATATCAACACGTTAAGATAGTTAATAATATAATAAAGTTTCAAAATCTAATGATTTTCATAATTTTAAGAAGAAAAGAAAAATTCACGAATTTTCTAATGCCATTTTTGTAAGAGATTCAATGATACTTTTTTGTTTACCTTATATTCAATAGTAAAAGAAATTACACAAAGTGGATTTGATTGATTTATCATTGCATTATCATCATCATCAATATTGTGAATCTTCTTCTTTTCTTCTATAAGAAAAT